AAGATCTTCAGTGGTGGGAGATGAGTCTTTGGTGGTAGAGTAGGAGAAGAGAGTGATGGGAGAGCAAGAGAGAGCTTGGAAGAGATTAATGGCTGAAATGAGAGGAGAGGAGACAAGAAGAGAAGAGAATCAAGACGGAGAAACCACAAAAATCAGATCTGGAAAATGCAAAAGAGGAGGCGAACTGATGTTATAAACCACATATTAGATGGTTAAAATGTTAACCATCCAATATTTAGCATATTGGACAATTAAAATATTAACCGTCTAATATTTAGCAAACTTTATTGGACGGTTTTAAAAATAACTGTCCAATATATTAATATATTAAATATATTAAATATATTGGACGGTTATTTTTAGAACTGTTCAATATTTTAATTTATTGGACAGTTATAATTATAACCGTCCAATAAGGCCCATCACATATACCCATTTCTATAGTAGTGTTGCTTATATATTTTTAATATTTTTACTAGGTGAGTGTGTCACATATGGTAGTAATTTAGGCCCTTTAAAGTTTGATTCTTAGATATATGCATAGAAAGTATTGTTTAGGAGAGAACAACCCTTTAAATTGAGCTTAGATTTCTCAAAAGATTAGTCTCATAACTATCGATTATTGAGATATCTTGGGAAAAAAAAGGTTGCTTATATTTGAAAAGGAAAAAGTATATGTGTATATATATATTTTTTAAAATTATATGTGTCCTTTGGCTGTTATTTATAAGCAAAAGTATAAATTTCAAGGTGCATTTATGACATTATTCTCAAATTGTCTCTCATAAAGTTAATATTTATTTTCATTACACAAATTTATTTATTTAATTACAGGGATAGGTTAATCCAAAATTTTTAATTGTAGGTATAATTATTTTACTTTATTAACTTTCTTAAACTATGAGAATTGATTATTTTTTCCTATATTTAAAAAAAAAAAGAAAGTGGGACCAAAATTTGGAATTTATTAAAATTTTAGAGAGAACTAGGGATATTTGTTTTAGCTTTCTTCATGAAAAAAATCACTTATCTTTTGGAAAAAAATTATTTTGTGAGTTTTTATTATGTTTGTTTAAACTTTTGAAAATAATTGGAATTTGAAAGAAGTAAATATCTAAATGTTTTAAAAAGGAAAAAATTGATCATTTAGTCCTTATAGTTTTGACTTATTTATAACTCAATCTCTCAACTTTGACTCATTATAAATCAGTCCCTAAAGTTTCAACCTTTTAAATATTGGTCCTTATATTTTAAAAGTAAAATTAAAAAAATAAAAAATATTTTAAAATTTTAATATTTATCAAGATTAAAAAGGGTTTAAAAATTTAAAATATTTGTAATAAATTTTAAAATATTTTGAATTTTTATAAATTTATTTTTTAAAATATAAGGACTAATATTTAAAAAATTAAAACTTTAGGGACTAAATTGTAAGAAAAAAAGTTTAAGGACTGATTTACAACTGAGTCAAAACTTCAAGAATTAGTTTTAATGATAAAATTAAGAGACTGAGTTACAATTGAGTTAAAACTGCAAGGACGAAATTATCAATTTTCCCTTTAAAAAGCTTCTTTAAGTAAATTATAATAATAATCTAATGTGGTAGATGAGAGATGGTATTTTAAAGAGGTGGGATACACAAAGATATCATAAAATTTTAAAATAATATAATAATAAATTACTTTTATAAAATAAAAATCAAGGAACATGTCATAAAATTTAAAATTAACTAAATAATACTCCTTCTGTTAAAAAATATAAGGCATTTTTTGAGGAGTTGAATATTAAAAAATATAAGACATTTTTAGTCTTTCAAGGTGTAATCATTATTTTTTTTTCAAAAACGTTCCTATTGATAATAACTTTATATTTATTGTAGGGTGTTTAATAGGGGTAAATATAAAAAGATAGGGTTAGTTGAAAAGTAGGAACTACTTTATTGGGGGTGAGATTCAGTTAAAAATGCCTTATATTTTTAATAGAGGGAGTAATTATTTTGTATTATTATAACCAAACATAAAATAATATTTTTTTTATAAAATCTCAACAAAATAAAATCTCTTTAGGAAAACATAATTTTGGGTCTCTTTACTTTGTTTGAATTTTGTTATTGGTCCTTGCACTTTTTTAATATTTTAGGTCCTTACATTTTTTTTTATATTTTAAGTTACTCCAAAGTCCCTACACTTTGTTCATAAGAGAACTTAAAATACTAAAAACTAAAAGTTTTAAGAACCTATAACATTGAAGAAAATATAGAGACTAATAACAAAATGCGAGCAAAGTACATAAACTCAAAGTTATGTTTTTCCAATCTCTTATTATAAAATATTTGAACTATCTAAACGTGGCTTATTTTTTAATCTTAAAATAAACGGGGCCCTTAATAATGAGTTTTGTAATTTTTATTAATTTCTAATCAAACATGTTGAAAGGTACAAGTCACTTATCACGACAGAAGAAGGTAGAGGAGCTTAAAGTCATTACTGGCGTGCTCGTCTTCTCATCTCTCAAGAGCTTCTTCTTTTTCGTCGACATCTTCTTTACTTAGCTCAATCTTCTTCGCCGCTGCAACATATTATTTCCATGGAGGAAGCTCAACCAGTTGTCTGTTGCCACGTGGTGGCAGTGCTCTCCTCAGGTCGAGGCCATGTCAACCCCATGCTCAATTTCTGTAACTTGCTTCTCTCCAACAACGACCACGTCATCCTCGTCACCTTCGTCGTTACTGAAGAATGGTTCGGCTTCATCGGCTCACGAGCAAAGCCGCGTAATTTCCGGTTCAGCGCTATACAAAATGTTACCCCCTCCGAGCTGGACCGCGCAGCCAAATTTGTCGGCTTCTTCGAAGCTGTCATGACAAAAATGGAAGCTCCGTTTGAGCAGCTTCTGGATCGGCTTGAGCCGCTGCCTACACTAATCATCAATGATAGTTTTCTCTCTAGGGTCGTCAGAGTGGGAAATCGAAGGAGTATCCCTGTAGCGTCGTTTTGGCCAATGTCTGCGTCGTTCTTCTCTGGGACCAACAGCCGTCATCTCTTCGAGCAACATGGGGATTATCCCATCGTCAATGCGTTAGGTTATAATTAATTACTTTTTCTTTTCTTTTCATCCGCTTTTTACTCTTTTTGATTGAGAAATTTATAACTGGTGGATGCTCAAAATTACTGATTCCATCCAAAATATAAGCATTTCTTTCAACTAATTTTAATTTAAAATATACATAATTTAGTAAATGTATTTTTTTTTATTTTATCCCTTGCATTTATTAACTTAAATTTTTGTGTAAATATATTTTTCATTTATCATGGAGTGTATTAATAATTGAGACTAGGAATAACTAAAAAATATATATTTTTAGTATAAAAACAAAGATTTTATTATGCAATTTTTTTTCTTAAAAACTACTTATATTTTGAATCAAAAGTATTTCAAGACTTGTTTAGCTACAACAACAACGACTAACAGTGAAAAAAGGTACAATTTTTTTTAACTCTTCTCTTGTTTAGTAATTAAACAACAGCCAAAATACTTTCTCTTTTACCACCAAAACAAAAATAATGATATACACATATAAATAAATAATCAATAAATATTATTAAAACTAGTTGGGACTCTGAAAATATTTTTACCCATCATTAAAGTAGAATTGAGTTATAGTCTACCGATACCATTATATATCTACGCACAAGGCTCCCCGCCTCTTATTAATGCTTCCTTCTACACATCTCTTAATTTTTCCATTCTTGGATTGGATCTCAATTTTAATAGTTGAGATTAAACATATTATAAAATTATTATTATAATATTAATAAAAATAAATAAATAAATTTAAACTGTTAAGATTTGACTTGGGCAATTCAGAACTGCAGTAAAAATATTTTTAAAATATTTTTTTAATTTTTTCACTATAATTGTAAACTAAAATAAAATTTAAAGGTTTAAAATTATTTATTTATTTATAATATTCTAATAATAATAATTTTAATCTAAAATATACTTTTAGTTTTTTTAACTTTACATAGAGTTTTATTTTATTTCTTTAATTTTATAAAGTATATTGTCAGTCATTTAACTGCAACACTAGTAGCTTTATTGCAAAAATTTTTACAACAAACTTTTAAATATTGATAAAATATTTTCAAATGTTGAAATATTAAGTTTTGTTTTTTTTTTTCAAAAAATAACAATGATTAATACAATAATCATTTGAAACTAATAGTGTTAGGCTTAAAGGATTGATAAGATACTTTATAAAATTGAGGGACCAAAGTAAAACCTTATATAAAGTTAGACACTACAAAAAAATAGCAAATGTTCTGTCGCTAAAATTTTGTCATTATTCTGCCACTAATTTGCTAAAAATAATTTATCAACAGAATTTACTGATGAAGGATTCCGTCGCTAATCAATTTTTTTTTGTAGTGAGAGAATCAAAAATATACTTTAGCCATAATTTTATAACATGTTAAATCTCAACAGTTAAAATTGAGATCAAAGGATGGGGAAGCTAAGGGATCGTAGGAGGAGGGATTGATAGGAGGATGAAAGCCAATATACAAAGGAAAACGGAGAGTGCTCATAGTCATAGCATTTTTGAAAAACTAGCATTAATTAGATATTCCATAAATTTTGTAATAATTCATATATTTGATAACCAAAAAAAAAAATCTTAGCATTTTGTTTCTTAGTTGCTGAGACTTTTTTTTCCAGGCATGCATATATCTTTCCAGTAGCAGATGATGCTAAAGTTTGCATATATAACGATATCACCCTTTTTTTTAATTCGAGCAACGTTGGTATTTGTAAATTATGAACCTTATTGAACGTGATGAGTAGAAAAAATAAACTAATCAGATGACGCAAAATGAATTTTGAATTTTCTTCAATTTTGAGGCTTGAAAATACATAATTCAAACTCAACAATTTATGAACTTATTATATTCTGTTTGATTAATTTGCTTGATTAACATCTGGAGCAGAAGTAACGTGTGGATTATATTCCTGGAATTTCCTCAACGCGTCTGGTGGATTTTCCTATTTTTGATAAAAGCCTTCCCAGGGATGAAATATGGCAATGGCGGTTAGATTATCTTTCATGTGTTTCTAAAGTGAAGTACATATTACTTCCTACAACTCATGAGCTTGAACCTCAAGCCATTCATGCTTTAAAATCTGAATTTTCTTTGCCCATTATTTACCTTATTGGCCCTGCAATACCATATTCAAACCTCTCTTCTTCTTCAAGCAATGATAATAATAATAGCCACAATACTGACCTAACATACTTCCAGTGGCCAAGCTCCCAACCTTCTAGCTCTGTCTTGTACATCTCACAAGGAAGCTTTCTCTTAGTTTCACAACCCCAGATTGATGAAATCGCGGCCGGTTTACGGTTAAGTGGTATTCGGTTCCTCTGCGTAGCACGAAAAGAGGCTCGCAGGCTGAGAGAGATATGTGGAGATGATAATAATAAGGGTTTAGTGTTGGAATGGTGTGAGCAATTGAGAGTGTTAATGCATGATGCTGTAGGTGGTTTCCGGTCTCACTGTGGATGGAATTCAACTAAAGGTGTGTCTGCTGGTGTTCCTTTTCTTACTTTTCCAATAATATCAGATCAACGACTCAACAGTAAGATGATAGTGGAAGATTGGAAGGTTGGTTGGAGAGTGAAGAAATATGTTTACCCTGAAAGATTGATAAGTAGAGATGAGATTGCTGGGTTGTTGCAGAAATTTATGGATTTGCATGATGAAGATGGAAGAGATATGAGAAAGAGAGCTAAAGAACTTCAACGTGTACGTCAGCTTTCAATAGCAAATGGTGGTTCGTCTGAAACTAATATCAATGCCTTTATCAGGGATATCACAAAAAGAAGCTAGCAACTATGGTGAATAAAAATTATGTATACAAAGTTGAACATGAAAAATGTGGTTCATTCTTGATATTCTGGACAACATATGCATGATAATTTGCATGTTAGTTTTTGAAATATGTCTTGTTATAATATTGATGTTCCTGATAGATCTTGTTCTTTTACATTTGATCGTAGAATTACTACATGTATTAATTTCTGCCCACTCATTAATTAATTTATGAAAATGCGAAGATTTAGTTCATTAAATGGGTGCTTGGCCTTCGAGAAATAGTAAATAGAGTGAAATTAGAGGTTGCTTTTTTGGTGAAAAGAATGTAAATGGAATAGATTAAAAAACAGTAAAAACAAAAATAAAATGATCAAAATTGGGGACACCTTTTGGACCCCAAGCCACACGGTATATTTCCAATTTTTTATGAAAAATCTTTTTTTCATTTAATTTTTGCTGACTGGGTTGAGTTTGATCAAACTCGACTCAGGGACCCTACCCATTGACCATTAATCTGACCTGAATCCAACCTGTTGCCTCTCTTTTTTTTGGAAAGGGCACATTCACAATTTTTTTAAGTACCCAATATCCTCAGCCTATTTTTTTTTTAATTCAAAGCATAACTGGTTTTTATCTCGACATGTAAAAAATGACATGTTTAGAAGATTACAAAAACGACATGTCATTTCCATCATCTTCTTCCTTTAGCTAGGTTGCTCCAACCTAGTTGTTCTTTTAGGGTTGGTCGGTCGGATTCAAAACTTTGAATAGCTGCAACTCTATCGTCCAATATCTGTTTTGAGCATTCTTAGTGTTGTTCTCTTCAAAAAAAAAATTTTCATCCTCTATGCATTTATGGCCTCCATTTCCTCTAAAATTTCCATTTTCAAAGATCCAATTTTTCCTTTTCCTTTTAAAGTTATAGTTTCAAGGAGTTTTGCACACGTATAGTGTATGTGGCTAACATGCATGGACATGCATGGACTCCTAGAGTTATATTCTACTCATGTACAAGCAATTACCCATGTACATATGTATATATATATATAACCATATAATGATGACATCGATCGATATGAAGAAAAAAGTAATATATAGTAGCACATGTTTGAATGCAGGGGTAGAGCCAGAAATTTTTATTAAGAGGGGTCAAAATGATAAAGTATATATGATAATTAAAAGAAAGTTATATATATATATATATATTATCGACATAATATAAATATTTTAACATATATATTTGTATTTAATTTTACACATATATAAGAATATATATATATATATTTTTAGATTTGTTCATCAATTTTTCATGATATAAAAATTATTAGTTATTATGTCTACAATAAATATTTTAGTAATTTACTTCTCAATATAATTTGTTATTAAATTGGTAAAAATTTTATCATCCCTATAAGCATTAAATGATTTAAATACATCATTAGAATCTAAAGTTCTATTTAATGTTTATTGAATTTTCTATTTAATTTTTTCAATTGATAATCACAGGAAATGAATATATCAATATATTAATAATATTCAATTGTCATAAAATTTTTATGTTAATGAGATTGAATTATATCAGTGTAAAAATTATTTATATTATAAATTTAAACAGCTTGATTATTTAAAAAAAGTAATTTTTTTAGAAGAAAATTTTTACCAAACCTCTTAATTTTTGGATAAGTAATTTTATGATAAATATCGAGCACATCATATTCAATATATCTTAGAATTTTTATTGTAATATTTAACAAAATTTGTTAATAATAATTATTTCATTAAATATAAAATGAAAGTAAAATAAAATAACACCAATACTTTAAGAGCATATATAATATTATCTTATTGAAAATAAATAGATCTTTTGACAATCATATCTTTAAGTTACTAAAATAATTGCTTTATACATGCGTAAAAGACTATATATAGAATTGAAATGAGAATTCTATCTAATATTTTATAATTTCTGTAATTGGTAACTTATGGGAGTCGAAAATATATAACTCTTACATTTTGTTAAAAAAAATATATAAAAATTAGGAGAGTCGTAGCCTTACTGGTCCCCCCTCTTCCCATCCCTATTTGCATGTTATTGTCATGTAAGCGAATCACATTTGTTCAGCCACAAAAACGAAGCCCAAAATCAACGCATGCTTTAATACCAATGTGAGTTTAGTAAGCATACCTATCAGTGCACCAATTATATCTCTACGCTGATGAACAGAGTTTCTCAATCCCAGCTCTTGTTTCACAGTGAACACAAAATTATAGAGAGAAAGGAAGAGAGAAATATGATTCCATGCTTCTAAATCTGCAGGGTGTTTATAAGTTTTCACAATGCCCTCATATATTAGCCACGCATTCTCGGACGTGCATATAGTGAAAATCGTTCCTTAGCTCCCGTAACCTAAAATCCACACGGGAATATTGCACTCAAGTGCTAGATCTATTGCACATAAAGACCCAAACATTCTCAATATTATCATAAAACCCCATTCCATAATGTAGGCTTATATTTGGACCTACTCCACCAAGGGTGGATAAACCCGACAGAGAACTTTTAAGATTAGATAGGCGTGTGATATAAGAACTCATCAGCAAGGGGTGTGTTTGGATTTTAATTGAAAAAAATTAATTAATAAAAAATTGATTATTAGAATGTGACGGTATTTGAATAAAATTTCAAAAATTGATTATGATATTAATTTTTTAAAATGGAATAAATTTCAGTTTATTCCAAATAGAGTTTTGGAAACCAAATGGAGTTTGAAAAAATTGAGGTGTTTGGATAAAATTTTTTAAAACCATGATTTTGAACCTAAAATTAATTTTAAAAGGGTATCCACCAGGCCCAAGACCCCCAACAACGTTGATGGGCAAAACAACAATACTAACTCCAACAATTATTATTATATTATTAAATCACAACATTATTTAAGCAAGACAAATTAAGGAGGTAATTAAAATTTTAACCCATAGCATATCAAAATATATATATATATATATATATATATAACACTAATAAGAAGCTACACACTTTCACACCAGTTTGCCATGTCACTTTTAGTAAATTAATATGACTTTGTTTCAGTAGACACACACACACACACCTGATGGTTTTTTTTTTTTCACCAAGATTTTGACTTTTCTTGGGAGATTATTTCATAACAAACTTAATTAAGCCAGGAATGTGAACATTTATCATGTAGTCTGTCCAATCAATGCTCAAGGGATCAAATTCAAAGTCAAATCCCCCAGTAGCTTTCTCCATCTTTGTTGCCATCCGTAACGATTCTGTGTTGCCATCGTTGAAGCTGTAATATAATTATGTATAAGACATTTCTAAGTTAAACTATTGTTTCATATTTAAAAAATGGGCATAATTAATTTATAATCAATAATTAAAAAATAAAAAAAATACTCAACGAACTTACACAGCTTTAAACAACAAATAGGGTTCGTATATCTTAGCCATTCTTATCACCCTTTCGACTTTTCTATGACCACTTCTATAAGCATCTTGGCAGAAGCTTAGGCATAACACTTTGCTCACCAAATTTAAGACCTTGGAAATAAGATCAAATCATGCAAAAATATTAGTATATGTAATTAGTAATAAAAATTGGATAAAAGAGCAAATTGGCTCATAAATTATAGATTTAAGAGCGTTTGAAACATTAAACGTATCTCATTTTTGGTGAAATATTCCCTATTAACTTTTGAAAATGGTGCAATATGGACCCTGCCATTGACAAAAATTAACTTTGATAATTATTTGACCAGAAAATGACATAAGAGGGGTTGAAAAATTATAGAAAAGGACCAATAAAATTTTCTTGGTCTTCTTCTATAATTTTTGAATCATTTAATTACTGTAATTTTTTTTGGACATTTTATTTCTGTAATTTCTTAGCTTGTTTTCTACCATTTACTAGTTAATTAATGAACAAAAATAACTTTCATTAATGGTAAAGGCTACTTAGTTTTCAAAAGTTGGAGGAAAATAATATTGCACCAACAATGAGGTTATATTCCCAAACGTTTTTAGACTTATAGTGGAAGCACATATCGAACCATCATGTGTCGTCGAAGACTAGGCATACTCGTAAGAAATTTTGCCTTGGAAACTAAGACTGGCTTTCCATTTTTTTGAGTCAAAGGGTTTTGGGAGAAATAGAGATATGAGATATCACTGATACGAGTCATTGTTAGAGGATTTCTGAATGAAGAACCAACGTGGTAGATGAAATTCTCTTGAGCTCCACTTTTTGAATGAATAATCATTTTTAATGCTGCCGCCATACAGTTTATCACCATGTCCACTGGTATCTACAGCTCATCATCATAAATATTATGAACTTTGATTATATACTGACCATTATTAATAATATACTTCCTTCAGATCACAATATAAGTTACTTTAGAAGCATCTCTTGGTCCAAAAGATATGGCATTGAGTAAATTTTATATCCTTTTGCCATTTATACCCTTTTTTTTTATTTCTTGCTTTTAAATGCTCCATATTTGAAGACCATGCACGTGTTTTTAGAAAAACTCAAAGGCATAAATGTAAAGATATAAACATTTTTAGGAAAATAAGATTTCAACCAATTTTTCTTTTGTAAAACATGAATTAGTTATCAATAACATATATCATGATTTTGAAGGAGTAATACATTTTAACTTTACTAGTAAATAAGATCATACTCCCTTTGATTCAAAATACTGGGCATTTTTTATGAGTTAGTATTGATCCAAAATGCAAGACATGTTGCACAAAATCAATAGCATTAAATTCTTTAATTCTTTTATAAATGCTCTTATTAATAGTATGTATTAGAGAGAGAGAGAGACTATATAAGAATGAAATCAATAGGTAATTAAGATAGATTATTTTAATTAGAAGGTAGTTTTGGAAAAGGATAATATCTTCTTACCACTTTAAAAATGTTTTATATTTTGAATTGGGGCATATATAAGAAAGATTGTCAATAATAGCCAAGCCTAATGGGCTTTTATTTTAGGCCCTCTATTTTTCCAAGGGTTAAGCTTGAAAAAAATAGAGAATTTTAATATAAAAGAGCTTTTAGGTTCTACCCTTATAAGCCCTACAAAAACAGGCATGGGCTAGCCCTCAAACCCTTATAATTTTTTATAACTTTATTTATATAATTTAATTATTTGAAGTTTTGAATAAATATATGACAATAACACAATTTGTTAAATAGTTATTCTAGATGATGAAAGAAGATGAAGCTAGTGAGATTGTTGATGTAGCACCACCTCCTCCAAACAAACCTCCTCCAAAGGGTCTGATACTTTTATTTTTGAATGAAGAATAATAACAACTAAAGAATATTTACATTTTGGATGATAGGTGATTTGGACTTGTAAGGTTTATACTATATTATGCAGTTTATATCATTTTAATTATACTTTGGAGTGTGCTCGACCATGATCTTTATCATTAAGAGTCGGGCTTGAAAAAAATGCTAATTTTAAAGTAAGAGGACTTAAAAACATAGTTTGTAAAGGCCAAACCTATAAAGGCCAAGTTAGCTATTACTAACAGCTTCATGTATCATTAAAAAACAGTTAGTGAAAAGAAGGCTAATTAATGCTCTCCCTAGTCCAATGATGTAGAAAGCTTCATTCTCTCCTTTTTCATTTATTTCTTTATTAGTTTTTTAATATGAAAACGGCACAATTTGCTGTAAAGAAGGCGTTATGCTCTCTCAATTTCCACTTGCATGCCACTTTTTCAAGTGTATAATTTTATGTAATGTGATTCATCTCCCCCTTGACTCCAAATTAACGATATATATAATTTAAATAATAATGAAAATATCACCATAACTTACCACATCTACAATTGTTTTGGGACGACCCAAGAAGTATGTGACTATTCCTTTACCATAACCACCAATGACACTATCAATTGTTCTGTAACAGCAAAATATCATGTCAATGTTAGTGGAATCATATAACATCTAAATCTTCTTGAAAATGTCTTCAACGTCTTTTCTGTTGTTAGATTGATCAAATGAATGGCAAAAAAATTCATATATAGCAAACAAAAAGTCAAACTTTTATATTAATTAAATATACATTAGGATGATATATCTCGGTGAAGTCACTTAGCCTGAACTTTATATATTCTTAATCTACTTTTCAATTATTGGATGTGGGACTTTATCTTTCTCTAATAATAATCACTAGTATAAAAGAAGTACGTACCTATTCAGTACCAGTTAATTGATATACATATATATAGGGAACTTGTGAGAAAGTGAATCAATGTACCTAAAACCTTCGATCCAACCAGGAAATGGTTCCTTGAATGTACTAGACACAATGGTTGGACGAACAATGATCAAGGGAATGTTATCTTTAAGATGTGAGAGAAACATCTCTCCCATTGCCTTTGTAAAAGCATAAGTATTTGGCCATCCGTACAAGTTGGCCCTGCTTTTAATTAATGAGCACAAAAAAACAATCAATTAAATTAATTCATATATATTAGTACAAATTAAATTTAATAATTAACATAATGTGCACATGAAACATGAATACTTAGGGCCTGTTTAGTTTCTGTTCTCATTTTTTATTTTTAAAAATAGTTTTATAATATAGTTTTCATAGTTATTTTTCAAAACAAAATAAAAGTAAAAATTTGTTTGATTATGTTAATTTAAAAGAAATTTTTAAAGATAAAAAATCAATAGTAATGGTCGATAGTGGCTAATGATGATGACTTATAATAATAGTTGGTCATAATTAAATGTAAATATAATGTGCTTTAAAAATAAAAAATAGAAAATAAAAACAGCTTTAAATTATTCCTATTTTTGGTTTTTAAAACAAACAAATAGAAATAATTTAAAACAAAAAGTGAGAATAGTTTTGAAAATATCTAAATCCAAAACACTTAACTAGATAAATTTTTAATTTTTTTTACTTAAAAATATAATACAATTTTTGAAAACAGAAAACAAACTCTCAATGATTCATGATTGATCTAAGAAAACTAACCTTTCAATTCCATAATCTACCATTGCAGATTTCAGAGCATTTCCATGGACATTCTTTGCTTCAAGTTCTTGTAATCTTTTCTCCAACAAAATCTTTTCTTTCTCAATGTCTAATTTTGTGACCCCATTCAAGGTTTGTCCCATCTGAAATGGTTCTTCTTTTATCACTTCTCCATCCTCCTTAGCTTCTCCACACACGTATGCTAAATTAATTCCCACGTTAATTGTCAGTACGTTACATTAAAATAACTTTATTAGCTTGAAATATAGAGTGCATCCATGCATTTCTATAAGATCGAAGATGAGTTGTACTATAAACAATGCAATTTCTAAGAACTTTTTATGGATATACTTCCTTTGGTTCCTATTATAATGCACCTCTAATTACCTCATCAGAACTAAAAAAATATAGTTAAGTTATTAATTTTGTTTGAAAATAGAATAATGTTCAATTTTATTACCATATACATGAAAAATTTTCAAATTTACATCTAGGGACAATATTGGAAACAATGTAATTAATATATATCACTTCAAGTGCTTTATATTAAGGACTAGAAATTTTTTTTTAAAAAGTGCCTTATAATAGGGATTAGAGAAAGTATTGATGATAATAATGATGATGATTATACAAATGCTTTGACTTTAATGGGGATAGAACTCTCTTGGATTTATTTGAATGGTACTATTTAGAGAAGAATACATAAGACCTACTCTTTTGAATAGATAATTAATGGGCCACGATAATTAATTAACAAGCCTTTTCTCCACGTAGAACTATTTTGATCCATGAGAAAACCCGACCCTACTTTTATAATATATTTAGATGATATTAGACTGAAATTGCATGATAAATTTTTCTAAGGGTCAACACATAATAGGAATCATCTATGTGAAGTATTTATTTCAAATTAAATCAAAATATGTGTATTGTTTATATATTATATTTAATATATACACATCTTTTGATTTAATTGAATAAAATTTTATTAAATATAAAAAGTTAAGTATATAAATTTTTCCCTCAAAGTAATACTATCATATTAATGAGATATGTTTTCTCTGATCTTATTTATAAGTCACTTATAATTAAAGTTTTTGGCAAAACAGAGAGAAACAATAAGCCTCATTGACTTTGTCTAAAAATTGAATAAGTTTATAACTTTATCCCTATTAAATATAGATATACTTTAAAAATAAAATACTCTACCATATAATAACATGCCCAACACAAGAAAAGTATATAACCACGTGTGTGTATTTTTTATATATTTTTTATAATTTTCTTAAAATTAATATATTAGATATATGGATTCACATTTTTTAAATATTATATTATTATACATAATTTATGATCTAAAAATTTTCTAAATATAAAATTATTTATAAAAAATAATTTTGACAAATATTTAAGAACGAAACCAAATATATTGTTAACAACTCCATAAATTTCATGCTCGTTCCGCTCATGATTTAGACAGTATTTTTTTAAGAGTTATTAATTAAGATTTTATTAAATACCACTTAATGAGTCCAACATATTATTCCATCCATTCCAAATTATAAGATACTTTTAGATAAAATCATACATGTCAATAAAGCTCATTAAATGCATTTTACAATTTTATTTTTTCAAAACAAAAAAATTAACTTTAAAAAATCCCTTTCATTAAATATTTTATTTATGAAAGAATAATAAAGAAAAAGAATATAAGGGAAGAGAGTAATATTGAAAAGTATCATTAATTAAATATTATTTTTATTAAAGTGTATTATATTTTGAGATGTCGAATCTTCCTAAAAAAATGTGTAATAATTTAGGATGATGGGAGTACATTTTTCTTATTAGGTGACCCAATCCTAAAATTTTATTTAATGAACAGCTAATATATTATCTCAAATTGATAAACTATTTTATATTTTGAGATATCAAATCTTTTTAAAAAATATCTCATAATTTGGGATGATGGAAGTATATTTTTCTTATTAGGTGACCCAATCCTAAAGGTTTATTTAATGAACGGCTAATATATTATCTCAAATTCACAAAACTTTAAATGACAAAGTTTAATTTAAAGGATTTTTTTCCCCTACCGGTTGATACGTGTAGAAGAGCCTGTATTTTAGGACATGTCTTGGCAAAGTTTAGGACGTTTAAAGCTCCCATAGTGTTGACACCTATTGCAATATCAAACCTGCATCAATAATTTTCAAATATTAGATCAAGCAGTTCTTTCATGCATGTGGTTGATGGGGGCAGAACAAATTAACTAAAACATAATAATAAGTCAAAAGAATTCATAAAAAAAAATTACAAGGAGTTCAGTCTCACTAATTACGTACGTACCTTTCATCAAAGTTTGTAGTTGCTGCTACATTTACAATAATGTCTATTTCATTTGAAATTTTATTCTTTTCAACATTATTTTCATCTTCAAGTCCCAAGTTGGCGACAGAAACGTCTCCTTCAACTGCAATTATTTTTTCTGATATGAAAGAATCAAAATCTGCACCCCACTTATCTCGTAGAATCTTGAACAAGTCTTTGCTTATGATCTAGCGATCCATATAAAAAAATAATAATTAATGTCAATCAAACTAATGTACCCGTTTTATAAAATGAATAGTAAAATTTAAATTTAAATTTGGATTCGGATTTGTTGAGTAGCCAAAATTCACTCCCTGAATGATTATTTCAATTATAACTAATCTATTTTAATTTATCTATACTTAAAAATTAATATTACAGCCATTTGATTTAAAATGGAACAATTATTATTGTACCATATGAGATGTTCATTGAGTGAGAAGATTTAAGTCATTTATCGAATTTAAATTTGTAAAATTTGCTATAATTTATGTACGTGCCTCATCATGCAACCGTTTTGTGGCTGCATCAGCGTCAGAAGCTCTTAGAAGAAGATATAGTTTCTTCAAATCTGATTGAATCCTTAACAACTTCTCCACAAAAACTGCAAAGAGACACAGTATGAGTCACATTTCAATTTACTGGAATTTTTGAATTTGGCAAATAAGTAAATAATAAAATGCATTATTTAATTAATTGATTAAAATTCGTATTTGACATTTATCCTTGAATTTTGGAATTAAAAAAGAAAATAAGGAGAGAAATTATTAGGAGGCAGTTTATTGGAATTATATTATCAGGAAAAGGAAACAGTTTACATTTGGTTATTTAATTTTATATAAGGTTTTAATTTAATATCTTAATTTTATAAAGTATTTTTTTAATTCTCTAGCTCATTTCTGTTAGTCTCAAATGATATTCTTTTTGTATCATTCATTGTTATTTAAAAAACTAAATATAATATATTAACATTTGAGAATGAGTGTTTTGCTTACATTTAAAAGTTTAATGTCATTATTTTTTTGTTAATGAAATTAATGTTAAAGTTAACGGATTAGGAGATTTAAAAAATACTTTATAAAATTAAGAGATTAAAATTAAATTATATAAAGTTAAGTAACCAAATATATCCTTTTACTTTACCTCATGAAAAAGCATCCCAATTCATTCCATCTCAATTCCCCCCCCCCCCCTTCATGCTAGCTCTCACGTTGTCGGTGGGAGAAAATCTCTTACTACTTTGAAAATGCCTTTTGGCGTTGGGTCCTCTAGCTAACTCTTTTTTTTTTTTTTTAATAATATCTATCTAGCTTTTTTTTATGCCAATTATGGAAGGATAATACAACCGACATGGTTTTTGAAGGATTCAAGCAATTAATAAATAGTACACTGCTATTTTTTTTTGACATAATTAAATAGTAAGCTCTAATAAAAAATATTTTCTTCATCCCAAATTATAAAGTATTTTTAAATAATAATCACATATATCAATAAATATTATTAAATACACTTTACAACCTTATTTTTTAAAAACAAGGATACAAACATTCAAAAATAATATTAAAAAGAGAGAATATATGAAAAGGATAATATTTAAAAAATATCATTATGAAATCTTATTTTTATCATAATATCGTATATTTTTTAGGGAGAATGACAATTAAGAACCTGCTAAGAACATTAATCCCAATTACGAATCGTGAAATTTTGAAATTTCAGTTAAGGACCATGGTCCTTAATTATAATTAAAAAAATGTAATTTGTGAGGTGGGATTCATTATTGCCACTTGAAAATTCACTAACCCAACTTGAGAAAATTTATAACGTATATTGTGAAAACATGAAACCCCACTTAGAAATTGAATGTTTAACAAAAAGCGCCACTTGAGAATTCACTAACTCGACTTGAAAAAATTTCTAACATATATTGTGAAAACATGAAACTTTACTTGGGAATCGATTGTTTAATAAAAAAAATACCAATTTGGATAAGTCACTTTTTATTAATGATTCTCAAGTGGAGTTTCATATTTTCACAATATACATTAGAAATTTTTTCAAGTTTAGTTAATGAATTTTCAAGTGACGCTTTTTGTTAAACATTCCATTTCCAAGTGAGGTTTTATATTTTCACAATATACGTTAGTAATTTTTTTAAGTTGGGTTAGTGAATTCCTAAGTCGCGTTAGTGAATCTCACCTCATAAATTATATTTTTTTATCACAATTAAGGACCATGGTCTTTAACTTTGATTTCAAAATTTCACGATCCGTAATTGAGATTAATGTTCTTAACAGGTCCTTAATTGTTATTCTCCCTATTTTTTAATATCGAATCTTCTCCAAAAATATCTTATAATTTAAAATCAAGATAGTATTAATCTTTCCCGAAAGACTAAAAATCAACTTGTAAGGTCTCCTTTACTTAACCAAATCTAACATTGAAATTGGGGTAATCAAGAGATTAACCCACCAAGGTTACCAAAGTTGGTAAAAATCATATAAAGGAAATTTCTCAAATCCTTTTAGAAAGGAATTCCAAATTCAACATTTTAAATCTCAAATATTAGTTAATAAGTTCAAACCAGAGTTTGAAAATCGTGTGGAAGCTTAGAAATCAAATGGAACCCAAAACCATGAGTTTTGAAACTCAAAAATGGATTTTGTGTAGAAAATGACATGTTCGCTTATGATATGTGCGCCGTGGCTCGTAACATGTGCGTCATGGCTTGTCTTCTCTGTGCCATGTGCCATGACGCATTGCATGAATTTGACAGCATCAGTGTTGTCATTTGACAGTACTAGGAGCGAACTTCCGACATGTCCTAAATCTCCGTCCAATGTCTGATTAAGGTGGTTTCGGTGTCTACATGGAGCTTTCTTCTAACTCTAGCTAATGGCACCAGTTTCATAATCAAACTCTTACTCTATAAAAAGTTGAACACCAAAACTTATTTTGATCACTTTTTCACAAAATTTCTCAAATGGTGTCCTAACTCAACCACATATGCCAAATAGCTCACATCGACCATCCGACCACACTCAATAGACTCGTGTGGACCCATGCAACGTATCACACACAATCAAAAACACTTATATCATAAAATCACCACTCAACCCCAAGTTTTACAAAACACAAAAGGGAAGAAAATGTTGCATAAATTCATCAATTTCATTCTAAATCTTTCAAAATACATGGATTTCTATTTGCACAAGTATTTTGGCCTTGTCCATAGGTTTTCAACTAAAACTCACTAACCCAGGACACAAAATACACAAGTTATACACAAAATAATGCAAGTAGTGCATAACTCATGTTAAAGGATCCTAGTTGGTAAATACAATAACATATACAAATGGAACCACAAAAAGGAGCCATATAGAGGATTACTTTACAATCCTAAGCCTCAGTGTGTTTTTTCCTGAATCGAATCCAATAAGTTAGGTCTTAAAAATATTGAAAATTGAGGGGCGAGTACAACTACTTAGTAATCAAGTTTCACCTAACCTATACACTTGCATATCAATTATAAATGGATGATGCAAATAGGCAAATACATAGATAACACATATGAACACTTAGCCACGGTTCACAAAACTAACAATCATGTAAATGGGCTCACAACACACAATATCATAATATTTCACAAAGCATAACACAAGGTCACAATAATAACAATCATACGTCCCTAACACATGCCAGATCATAAAACTAACAACCATATGCCAGATCATGAACATACATGCCTCTAGTTGGTAAACAATCTTGACTTTTTAATAACAATCAAGTATTTTTTTAATTCTCTAACGTTTCTGTTAGTCTCAAATGATATTCTTTTTGTATCATTCATTGTTATTTAAAAAAATAAAAATAATATATTAATATTTGAGAATGAATGTTTTGCTTACATTTAAAAGTTTAATGTTATTATTTTTTTTGTTAATGAAATTAATGTTAAAGTTAACCGATTGGGAGATTTAAAAAACACTTTATAAAACTAAAAAGTTAAAATAAAATTTTATATAAAGTTAAGTAATCAAATATATCCTTTTACTTTACCTCATGAAAAAAGCATCCCAATTCATTCCATCTCAATCCCCCCCCCCCCCCACCCTTCATGCCAGATCTCACGTTGTCGGTGGGAGAAAATCTCTTACTACTTTGAAAATGCCTTAGCGTTGGGTTTTCTAGCTAACTCTTTTTATTTTTATTTTTTTGATAATATCTAGCTAGCTTTCTTTTTATGCCAATTATGGAAGGATAATACAACCGACATGGTTTTTGAATGATTCAAACAATTAATAAATATTACACTTCTATTTTTTTGACATAATTAAATAGTAAGCTCTAATAAAAAATATTTTCTTCATCCCAAATTATAAAGTATTTTTAGATAATAATCATATATATCAATAAATATTATTAAATATACTTTACAACTTTATTTTTTTTAAAAAATACAAACGTTCAAAAATTCAAGTGCTGCATTTGTTAAATAATATTAAAAAAAGAGAATATATAAAAAGAGTAATATTAAAAAAATATCATTATGAAATCTTATTTTTATCAAAATATTTTATATTTTTTAATACTGAATTTTCTTTAAAAATATCTTATAATTTAAATTTAAGATAGTATTAATCTTTCTCAAAATACTAAAAACAAAGGTTTGACCTCTCACAACATAAGTTTGTCAGTTACACAAACTGGGAATCGAATACCATTAATAGTGAAGACAAAAGCTAAATTCCTTTTAGCTTGGTTTGCGTTGAAAGTAACTGAAAGTATTTGGCGCAAAAAAAAAAAAAAAGTAACTGAAAGTAAATAGTATGCTTCTATCAACTAGGTTTGTTGATAAGACTGGAGTTGGGAACCGAAACCCCGAACTACTTTCTTAAATAATAACAACTCATACCACTTATATCAACTTGAATTAATATTAGCATACTTTTTATACATAAACTCTTTCAGTCTTTATAAATAAAATATATTTTTAATTAAATTATATAAATTAATAAAAATTAGTTATTTAATTAAAATTACAATAACATTTTAATTTTATCTTTAATTATTGTAAATAAAAATGAATTTCTTTTTTTAAAATAAATTAATGATAGCGCTTACTTTTTTCTCTTTTCAATTTAATAAGAGTATAATAGTATATTTATTAAAAATATATTAATAACTTTTTATATTTAATGATAAAATAAGGCTCTAGAAAATCTTTTATCTATATATGGGAACGGAGGGAATAGATTCATAAAATATTTACAGATGCAACACACACATTCATTCATTACCTTTTCCCAAGAAGCCAGTTGCACCGGTGACTAAAATGGTCTTTCCCTTGAGAAATTGTGCACTTCCCAACTCCATTCTGAAGAAGCAGATGTATGAGTATGAGTGAGTTATAGTTTAGAAATGCTGAGGATTATGAAAATCTAAGCAAGGTATCAAATTATTTATAGTTGGGGTTTTTGAACCGTAACCTATTTCAACCATAGTTGGACCAGCTAGTTAGAAAGGTGGTTAGATTTTAATTACAATCAATTATTATATTGCACATCTGAGTTTTATTAATGAGATTAAAATATTTTTATTTTTAAAATATCTTGGGTTTTAAGACTTGTATACTTTATAGAGTTTTCTTTGAAGGTATCGTTTGGGCCTAAAATGTCTACGTTGAAATAAAAGCCCAAAATAGAGGGAAACGAAAAGTCGGGCCTGATAAGTCGTTTAATGAAGCAGAGCATGATCCATTTAAAATAAACTTTTTGGACTAAGTAAGTGCTAAATCATGGAGGGAATATGATCCTTAAAACTCAAAGCGATTAAGCTAGGGAACCTATTATTTGAACGTGGGATCGTTACTTTAACATGCCCTAAAGTTCACGAAACTATGCCTAGTGGGAATGGATGTTTTAGCATGAAGCATCTCGGCCTCTAATGTTGCAAACACAATGACCTTGGATGACCATTATAAATAAAGCTCCAGAGACAAGAAAATAGCAAGGAAGAGCTAACAAGTCAAATACTTCTATACTCAATTTATCTTTTATGTCATTTTGTACTTAAAATTTACAATGACTTTTCATTTTTTTTTAGTAATTATATAACTTTATAGCTTTACACAATTAATCAAGCTACTTTCTTCCAATTACTTATTGCATCTTTACATTTAGGTAAACTAAGCTTAGGGAATTAACGGATTAACAAATGTCCACATGCATGTTTTTTTTTTCCTTTTTTGCTAGGATCCACATGAATATTCATAGGCATGATGATGATATCTCAAGATAGGAAGTGCATTGTTGTGGTCCATATTCATTACTCATATGATCAATTATTATGACTTTTCAATTTTTGCAACGTGTGATTATTTGCACGGCTGTTTAAGGGAAACTTAAAATTGTTATTTTCATCTCATGACTATCTTATACAAATATTAACGCTAGCATGTTAAATGTGCAACATAATATTAATTATTAAACTAAGGTTAGATCGAACAATTGATTATAGCACAACTACCCATCACCAATCAATTTTAAATGTGCTTAATAGGTCAAAATACTTGTGCTATAATTGTATTTAGACTTAAGATATAATTTTATTTTTAAACTATTTTTAAAGGAGCAATATTACCTCTAAACTAATTAAATCAGAGCAATGTTTCTTCCACCATTTAAATGTTCATTACTATAGCCAGTGCGACCAACCTTTTATGAATTAAGGTATAATTTTGCATTCAAATTATTTTCAGATGAGCAATGTTGCCCTCACCATTTAAAAATCATAAAAATAAATAAAAATAAAAATAGAATAATATTAAATAAAATAATATTAAATGTATATATAAATATAAAATTATAATAATATTAAATAAAATTTCCTCTTTAAAATTTGAAAATGGTGCACTGAATACCTTACCGTTAAAAAAGATACTTTAATTTAAACATTATTTGGCCTGGAAAATTACAGAAAAAATTTAAAATTTATTTGTAAATAATAAAATTTAAATAATCATATATTAAATTGGTAATATTCTAGGGTTAATGAGAAAAATAAACCCTAAAGTATTGCAGGAAAAACATCTTAAATCCTGAACTCTTAAACTATGCAAAATAAATCATAAACTTTCAAATTTATAGCAAAATGAACTTGACTGTTAACTTTTCTAATGTCGTTGCTGTTCATTTATTAATGAGCGCTACAGACCTTATACTATTACACGAGTAGCCTCTTGGACCCTAAAATTTAAAATTTCAAGCAAATTACCTCCAACATTTATGTATAGAATGTTGACTATTATGTAAAGTAAATTAGCCTCAGTTTGGCTCGCCACAATGAACGCATGATTGGCTGTGGCGAATGATCCATAATTTTGTGAAATGATATTTTTTGTCTCTTCTTTTATAATGTTTTTGAAAAGATTGATATCTCATACTTTCGCTTGGGGCAAAGATCAACTTGTAAGGTCTCCCTTACTTAACTAAATCTAACTCTGAAATTGGGGTAATCAAGAGATTAACCCACCAAGGTTACCAAAGTTGGTAAAAATCATATAAAGGAAATTTCTCAAATCCTTTTAGAAAGGAATCCCAAATTCAACATTTTAAATCTCAAATATTAGTTAATAAGTTCAAACCAGAATTTGAAAATCATGTGGAAGCTTAGAAATCAAATGAAACCCAACACCATTATTTTTGAAACTCAAAAATGGATTTTGTGCAGAAAATGACATGTGCACCGTGGCTCGTGATATGTGCACCGTGGCTCGTAACATTTGCGTCATGGCTTGTCTTTTCTGTGCCATGTGCTACAACGCATTGCATGAATTTGACAGCATCAGTGTTGTCATTTGATAGCACTGGGAGCGAACTTTCAATATGTCTTAAATCTCCGTCTGACGTCTGATTGAGGTGGTTTCGGTGTCTATACGGAGCTTTCTTCTAACTCTAGCTAATAGAACCAGTTTCATACTCAAACTCTTACTCTATAAAAAGTTGAACACCAAAACTTATTTTGACCACTTTTTCACAAAATTTCTCAAATGGGTGTCCCAACTCAACCTCATGCGCCAAATAGCTCACATCAACCATCCGACCACACTCAATAGACTCTTGTGGACCCGTGTAATGTACCACACATAATCAAAAACACTTATATCATAAAATCACTACTCAACCCCAAGTTTTACAAAACACAAAGGGGAAGGAAATGTTGCATAAATTCATCAATTTCATTCTAAATCTTTCGAAATATATAGATTTCTATTTGTACAAGTATTTTGGCCTTGTCCATAGGTTTACAACCAAAACTCACTAATTCAAGACACAAAATACACAAGTTATACATAAAATAATGCAAGTTGTGCATAACTCATGTTAAAGATCCTAGTTGGTAAATACAATAACATATACACATAGAACCACAAAAAGGAGGCATATAGAGGATTACTCTACAATCCTAAGCCTCAGTGTGTTTTTTCCCGAATCGGATCTAATGAGTTAGGTTCTAAAAATATTGAGAATTGAGGGTTGAGTACAACCACTTAGTAATCAAGTTTTACCTAACCTATACAGTTGCATATCAATTATAAATGGATAGATGCAAATAGGAAAATACACAGATAACACATATGAACACTTAGCCACAGTTCACAAAACTAACAACCATGTAAATGGGCTCACAACACAAAATATCATAATATTTCACCAAGCATAACATGGGGTCATAATAATAACAACCATACGCCCCTAACACATGCCGAATCACAAAACTAACAACCATATAGTTAGACTTATATGCATGATCATATACCAACCTTATACCCTTCTGTTACTTGCAACATGAAATTGATGGCTATCACGTGGCTAAGTCCTTCACGGATTAACCTAACCTTTTACTTGTGAAAAGCTATCGGGTCAAGATAAACTCACTCACTTATGTAATCTGGTTTCTCCCAATATTAACAATCATAGGGTGTCGTATCCCTAATCTAGCCTCCTCATAAATTGGTAGAGACTAGTTAGGTTTGAGTCCCTCGTAAAACAAGGGAGCAGTCCTAAATTAACTATAGAACAAGGGCTACCTCCTGATTCTAATGGTCGGTGCCAAGGCAAGTTCTCGATTCCAATGATCACTACCAATACCATGTGGGTTTAAACCAATCTACTCCTCTCCCTAAACAAACTCCCACCAATGATCATGTTGTCCACATTTCTCACATTATATGCATTTCAAGAGTTAATTCATAACAAATAATCTCATATTCAGCTACTCCACACATTTAATATATCACACACCATAATTCTTCACTCTTACAATAACATGCCACAAGTAAATTCATAAATCGTGAGTAGGTGGCATAGTTAATGTTTTCCTTTCCTAAAATCAATTCATGAAATCAAGTACATTACCAATATGCATTATTAATTTAAAACATCAATCACATTTCATAAACACAATTAACATTCAACTATAAAAATTAGATTTTTCCCGATTACCTTAAACCTTTGAAAGGTCAAAGGTTTATCCCTCTCAATACCAACTTTCAAAGCTTCTATAAGCTTGAATGGTGCTAAAATCAAATCACACTACAATCATAGTGCAAGATTACCATCATTATCCTATTTGGAGGATTTTACCACATAATCTCCATACACATTATTCTATTAACCTATGAATGACTATCCATTCATACCAAATAGGCTCCTTAGGTTCTATTGATGCACATTATCATTAATAACACTTTAAACTAACATTAATGAACACAAACCTCTTCCAACTACTGCATTTATGTGAAATTTTGGATATTAATTGCTCTACCCAATAAATTCTTGATAAAACCATCAATGTAGGGTTAATCTATCATAAACCATTTCCTTTATATTCATTTTAATCAATGGGATCAAACCCATAATCCTATCGACCAAAAATGGCCTCTCTAACTCAAACCCTACCATAAATCATCATAAATGAGGGAGAGAAAGGAAGAATAAGGCTTAGTTTACTGTTAACCTCTAGAATTTCATGTTATTTCATCACATTTTCCTTATATTCTAATCCATTTTGGCTCAATTATATATATTTTTATTGTCCAAATTAGGAAAATATGCATTTTGTTTTGGTTTTGTATTCTTGGCTTTGATGTCCAAATTAGGAAAATATGCATTTTGTTTTGGTTTTGTATTCTTGGCTTTGATTTGATATTTTTGATCTAATTTCATGTTATTTTGGTTGAAGTTTTGATTAAAAGCATTTCTGAAGCTTTGTGGATTTTTTTGAAAGGCTTTTGGATGAAGAAATCAAGTACAAAATGAATAATTTTTGTGAGCTGCAAAAACAGTGCAAAACTATCAAAGTTATCCTAAAGT